ACCTTTAACATATTAAAATATGTTAGTAACATATTTTATTTAACCTAATATGCCCAAAACATTATTTCTACAAGTAATCCATGTAAAACGTCATATCATTTTTTTCCACTTTTGTTTTACACTGCATTTATTTTTACAGGAATAAAGGAATAACTAATTGGTTAAGGGAAGGTAAGTAATTAAGAGATCAGCATGTTATCTAAAGCTTTTCAATAAAGGTAATGGAAGTTGGTGCAAAGAGAAATATTTTGAGCTAAATGCTGAAGTTTTATTGAATAAGTGAAGTTCACTGGGTGACAGGATATGAGCCTCAAAGGAGCAAAAGATTTGTTTCTTATATCTTAGTAAGTTGAGAAGCTGCAGGAAATTCTGCAGGCAAAGATATGAAAGCAAAAAGAATACTAACCTGTCATTGTGATTCTGTCATAATTGGAATATGTGAGGAGAGACCCCACCCGGGGCAATCAAAGGTGCAGTATTTCGCAAGAGAATAGCCAAATCACAGCAAGGGTAGCATATGGAAGAAATTTTAAAAGAATCTGAGAATATGGTGGAAGTGGTCAATCACTAGGTAAGTACTTTAAAAGGCTAAGTGGAACAGAGAGAAAGACATAGAGGAGAAGAGAAAGGAAAGAAGGAAAAGAAAGACAGGAAGTTGGGGAATTTGTTCAATTGCGGTGGTAAAACAGCAAGAGAAAGAATGTATAGGAGAAAAACAGACAACAAGATAACAAGAAAAGCTTAGCCTTTGTGCTTTTTCCCATGCTTCTCTCTGTTTTGCATGTTCACTACCTTCCCTGTTTTGAATCTTTATTATAATCTAAATAGATTTCTTTATTATTCCTACAGTACAGTCATTATAGTAATTTCTATTCAGGTTTCTTTTCCTCTAACAGAAGGTAAGTTCCTTGAAAACAGGGATTAGGTTTTATCAGCTTTTAATGTCTCAGTTTCTGTAGAATGTCTGAGACATAACAAGTATTCAGTGCTTGTTTTAGGAATGAATTATCCCTTGAATAGGTGCATTTGTGTATAGAATAGGATCCACAGTTCTAAGAGTTGCAAGTATAAACTGAGCATAGCTTCAATTCCCTTCTCTCTGAAGTGAAACTATTTGTCCAGAATGACCTCTATGATTCTCTTCAGCTAGAGATTTTATGGCTTCTAAATGACTAATCCTTTCATTTCTTCAAATGTTTCACCAGTGGCTTCAAGATTTTACTTTCTGTACTAAGATCCCCAAGCTGGTTTTGAGAGTTTTTGACACTGACCTCTGTTTTGGAAGCCTTCCACATAGGGTACCATATCACCCACTTCTCTTTTAAACTTTTAGAAATGCAGAGTTAACTTTTATATCACCTACCTTGCAGGAAAAATATGCTATGCATGGTCTTGCTCTAAATATCATGTAAATACTGTGTTTCTTAAAACCTAATATCTTATTTAATATTAGATTTTAAAGTATTTAAGTCAGTGCCCCCAATGGCTTAGCACTTTTGTCTTTTATAAGCAAGAAGGCACTACAAAAACTTAAAATAAAAAATATCTATAATAAATTATCTCTAGAAAATGGATTCCGGAAAAATCCAAATTTATTCACCATTTTGGAAAATCAGTTAAATAGTGTATTTAGGATTTGTAAGTGCAATAATTACATAAACGTTATAGGATTATATACAAAAATTATTATACACACATTCTCCAGAAGATAAAATTTAGAGTCAGTATAAACAAACTTCTTCCTGTCTACCAACATTTTCCCTCTTTTGGTTTAGTTTTTCTTTGTTCATTCTTTAAATCTTGTTTCTCTTAATCCTTGAAAATTTGAATAAGGAGTCATCACAAAGAACACTTAATTATGCCTGAAATATTTGCTTCACATGTTTGATATGAAGTTTGGAGTCTATAAAAACACTGCTTCTGAACTGTTTAGCACAAGCAGATGTCCAAGTATTTTGTCAGCAAAATGGAATTCTTCACTGACCACAATTGGAGTAAAAATAACTTTAAGAATATAGAATCATGTGTTACTTATGAAGGAAATAGTAATTTCAGCTAATATTCAACTGTTCTAATTAATTGTCTTGTTCACACAGAATGGATACCCTCAACACAAAGGTCGATGAAATGAAGGCTGCCTCGTTTTTTCTATCACCCAAGGCAGCATTCAGCTGGTTGAAAAGTTTTTTGTCACGGCATTGTCCCATCCTTATCTATTAATTTGCTCTGTGATACAGTTTTTTGAAATAAAGAATTCTTGGTAAATAGCATAGAGCAGAGCAAAAGGTCTTAAAGTATTGTCCAGGGATTCCCAGAATATGTAGATGGTGCCTGAGTTCAGAAAGTTTAACAGGTCCTTGAATGGACTATTTCCTGTGTCAATTAAGTCCCTATGTCAAGTAATATGTGTCAAGTTTTTACATATTAATTTGTCCAGTCAATTCTGGAGAGGAGGAATTACGTGGATTATGGGGCCACAAGTAATTTTCTTTGTAATTTGTCATGTTTCAGAATTCTACCATGCTCTCTGATTCATACCACTTTTGTCCACCTAATAGTGATTTTACACCATTGTTCTTCTTGTTGAATTTGTAATTTTTAGGTAGGACTCCAGTAATGAAGGGGGAAATAAAGTCTCCAACAGGAATATTTTGGCAAGCTTTCAAACACAAAGGAGCAATTGGAACAAACAAATCACATGTAATGATATAAATTACAGGAAGCATAAAACAGAAAAGCAGCAAATTCAGTCGTTTTTTAGAATTGAATAATACAATAGGTGGTCTTTGGCATGCCATGCCAAAATTTTAGTTAACACTTCAATGAGCTATGTTTACTACATTTTCATTTATAGGTTAATATGGTTTGGCTCTGTGTCCCCCACCCAAAGCTCATGTTGAATCATGATCCACACCACTGGACATGGGTCCTGGTGGGAAGTAACTGGATCATGAGGGTTGTTTCTAATGGTTTAGCACCATCTTCCTAGTGCTGTTTTGTGATAGAGTTTCCATAGGATCTGGAAAAAAAGATCTCCACCTTCACACACACACTATGTCCTGCAGCCGTGTGAATATGTACCTGCTTCCCCTTCACCTTCCACCATGATTATAAGTTTTCTGAGCCTAACTCAAAAGTAGAAGTCTGTACAGTCCACAGAACTGTGAGCCAATTAAACTTCTTTTCTTCATAAATTACACAGTCCCAGGTATGTCTTTATAGGAGTGTGAGAAATAAACTAACAAATAAGTATATTTATTTCCTAGGACTATGGTAACAAATTACCACAAACTTGGTGACTTAAAACAACAGAAAATTATTTTCTCACAGTTTTGGAGGTCAAAAGCCTGAAATGCAGGTGTTGACAGGGCCAGGCTACCTTCAAAGACTTAAGGAGATAATCTGTTCTTGCCTCTTCCAGCTTTTGGTTGAGTCTACGCATTCCTTGGTTTGTGGCCCCATCATTCCAATCTCTACTCCCAGATTATCTTCCCTTTCTTTGTCTCATAAGGATACATGTGATTGAGAGTTAATTATATCTTTTGCCATATAAGATAATATTCACAGTTTCCAGGAATTAGGACTTAAACTTTTGGCTTTGCAGGTGTTCTGTAGTGAGCAGGCCTATGCAAGCCTACCCCTAAAGACTGAGGAAGCTAAGCGTTGCTGAAAAAACAGTCTGACAAATCCAGTTTCCCAGAAAGAAACATTTAATAGGGACTTATGAACAGAATCCATGTCCCTGCCAGTCACAAGACAAGATGGTGACAAGACAAGATCCCTGTGTCATTACCCTCCAGACCCAGGGCTTATATACCATAAGGAAAGAATGTGTCAGGCGAAGTCAGCCCCTCAGAGAAAAGCAAGAATGCTAGGTGAATGTGCTTAAGGACAGGTTTTATGGTTAAGGTTGTTTTGAAATAAGAGTGGGGTTTACAGTAACTGTAGATAAAGTAGAAATCTTGAAGGCATTTTTGGAACAGGGGTTAATAAAAAGCCAGCATGGTGGATTAGCATCCAAGATGGAGTTACTTTATCCTCCACAAGAGGCTATCACTTAGCCCACCATAATAGGCATAACAAATCCTATTTTCAATATAATTCAATTTAAAGATAATATGTCTTTCATGAGAGGGGGTGATAATGAGAAGACAAAAAAAGGAGATAATTTGTTATACACTATACCTTTTCAAATGACTACTTAGAAAGGTGATAGGTTTTAATATTTCCAGATGTATCAGTCTCTCATCTTGTTGCTCTATCTTCTGTTACAATATTGAGAATTTTAAAAAAAGTAACTTGTAATTTATTTTCCAAGAAAGCCAGTATGTATCCTAGAAATTGCTTCATCCTTGAACTTATAAAATTCACTTCTGCCAAAAGAAAGGAAAAATGGAAGGGCAAATAGACTGCTCATATGAAAATGATGACTTCAAGTCACATATCAATTTTCTTTCAGAGATGATTCACAAGCCAACGTTTTGCCCTAGGGAGAAATGTTGCCATTTTCACAGCAAAGTGTTTTTTTTTTTTTTTTTTTTTTGTACAGTGAAATGACAGTTTTCTTCAACAGTAAAACTGAATTAACTTCTGAAGGAAGAAACGCAGTAAAAATGTCAAACTCATAAAATATATCATGTTTTGAACATCTGCACATGTTTTTGGACTGACCTGACCAAGAAAGAAAATTTCCTCAAGGTACTAGTGATTCGGGAACTAGGTGGTTGAAGGACAGGTAGGGGTGAGGATGGGAGTACTGCGAATAAGGAGGCAAGATTGTAAGTGTAACTTAGATACAATTGGATCATCTAGAAATAGCTCCATTATCTTGAGTTCCCAGGTATAGAAATGGATGATAATAATAGATATACTTTCTATTTGTGCTGTGTCATATTGAGCAGTCTAAAAGATCTATCTAAGTCTACAAAGGAATATAGCTCCAAACTAGAAAGCCTGATATGTCTCAGAGGAAAGTCTTTCTTACCTTCCTTCTTTCTCCACTTTCTTCCTCTTTCCATCCTTCTCTCCTTTCTCTTCTTCCTTCCCCATTCTTTTTCTTCCTCCCTCCCTTTTCTTCTATTCCTTTTTCAAAAATTTCAGAAAAATGGTTTGGCTTACTAAAAGCGATATTTAGTCATAGACACTAAATGTATGGGTGTGAAATACTGCAACCTACAAGAAAGAGACATTATGACCCTTATATTCTGTTAAAAGAAGATTTCAAACCATAAAGCTTTTAAAAAATTCTATAAGAAGAGATAATTCAACATTTTCCTTCCTGACCAATGGAAGAAAATCAGAACAGTTCCACAGAGAAAGTTATGGATACTCATAATATCTCATTCTCTTATTCTTTTGTGTCATGCCACAAGATATTATGAGTATCCACAACTTTACAATTATGCATAATTAGTTATCATTTATAGCACTATCTCATAATTCTTTAATTTTGTCATCATAATAGCCATTGAAGTAAGTAGGAAAGATAGTGATCCTTTCAGTATTTTATAGAAAAAGACATGGATGCAGAGTCAACGTGAGATGTTACCTACTGGTGCAAAACACTGAGCTCACTGCAGAAAGGGTAGATATCTGCTTGAACAGCTGTGACTACCTTTAATACAGCATTTCAAGAATCTGGGTCTCGGCTCAGTCATGCCTCTTACGGGTTGACTCTACCTAAGGAGCTTCATATTCCTGGGACTCGATTCTATTTTGTTATAAAAAAGAAGGAGTAATCTATGATTTCTCAAATTCTTTTTAGCTCACACAAGTTCAATTTGTAGAAATCCTTTTCAGCAAGGGCCATGCCTGTCCTCTGTGCATAGGAAAACTTTACCTTTTCCCTTTAAATTTCTCTTACTCTGGCTAATGAGAACACATTTTATTTTTGGCACCCAAACTTACCTCAGTGTGACCTTAAAGTAAGAGGATTGTTTGGAATAAGAAGACAATTTCAGGGCTCTGAGTTTTCTTCATTACTGAAGTCCATTGTTCATAAGGCAGCACCTCATGTTCTCATGGTTTTTACTAGCCACCTTCCACTGGAAGCATCATCTTGTTCTGTCTCTCTCAGTGGTATACCCTATTAGAGCCAGCTAACTGATCAGATGAAGAAAGTTAGTTTTCAACCATGACTAACATGCATATATGGCTGAAGGAAAACTTACACATAATAGAAACTCTTCAAAGTTAAAAATGTAACTGCATCTGGCAATCAACTGAAATACCTACGTTTTTCACATATCCTTGAGAAAATTCAGATGTTTCTTGGTTAAAACAGAGAGGATGAGAAAGGGCCTGTTATTCCCTATAGTACAAACTTCTGCGCTGGCCTCTGAGCAGGCTCGTGTTCTGGTCTGTACTTGTATACATATCCTGAGAAAGTCTCCTAGGCCAATACTTTACATTATCATCTATCATGTTATCTTTGGGATTGTGTGAAAGAGAGGACATTTCTTCAAAAAGTATGTTATGAAGTAGATGTAATCTCAGAATAAATGTTTGGTTTTCTGTTCTTGTGCCAGTTTGCTGAGAATGATGGTTTCCAGATTCATCCAAGTCCCTGCAAAGGATAGGAGCTCATCCTTTTTTATAGCTGTATAGTATTTTATGGTGTATATGTGCCACAATTTCTTTATCCAGTCTATCCTTGATGGGCATTTGGGTTGGTTCCAAGTCTTCACTACTGCAAACAGTGCTGCAATGAACATACATGTGCATGTGTCTTTATAACAGAACGACTTAAAATCCTTTGGGTATATACCCAGTAATGGGATTGCTGGGTCAGATGGTATTTCTACTTCTAGATCCTTGAGGAATTGCCACAGTGTCTTCCACAATGGTTGACACTCCCACCAACAGTGTCAAAGTTTTCCTATTTCTCCACATTCTCTCCAAGCATCAGTTGTCTTCAGATTTTTTAATGATCACCATGCTAACTGAGGGGGAAATGGTATCTCAGTGTTTGATTTGTGTTTCTCTAATGATCATTGATGGTGAGCATTTTTTCTGTTTGTTGGCCATATAAATGTCTTCTTTTGAAAAGTGCCTGTTCATATTCTTCACCCACTTTTTGATGAGGTTGCTCTTTTCTGGTAAACTTGTTTTAGTTCTTTGTAGATTCTGGATATTAGCCCTTTGTCAGGGTAGATTGCAAAATTTTTTTCCGATTCTGTTGGATGTTGGTTCACTCTAATGATTGTTTCTTTCACTGTGCAGAAGCTCTTAAGTTTAGTTTGATCCCATTTGTCTATTTTGGCTTTTGTTGCTATTGCTTTTGGTGTTTTGGTCATGAAGTCCTTGCCCACACCTATATCCTGATTGGTATCGCCTAGGTTTTCTTCTAGAGTTTTCATGGTGTTAGGTCTTACATTTAAATCTTTAATCAATCTGGAGTTAATTTTTGTATGAGGTGTAAGATATGGGTCCAATTGCAGCTTTCTGCACATGGTGAGCCAGTTTTCCCAACAGCATTTATTAAACAGGGAATAATAATTTCCCCATTGCTTGTTTTTGTCAGGTTTGTCAAAGAACAGATGGTTGTAGGTGTGTGGCATTACTTCCAAGGCCTCTGTTCTGTTCCATTTGTCTATATCTCTGTTTTGTTACCAGTACCATGCTGTTTTGATTACTGTAGCCTTATAATATAGTTTGAAGTCTGGTAGTGTGATGCCTCCAGCTTTGTTTTTTTTGCTTAGATTGTCTTGGCTATGTGGGCTCTTTTTTGGTTTGATATGAACTTTAAGGTGTTTTTTTCCAGTTCTGTGAAGAAGGACAATTGTAGCTTGATGAGGATAGCATTGAATCTATAAGTTACTTTGGGCAGTATGGCCATTATCATGATATTAATTATTCCTAACTATGAGCATGGAATATTTTTCCATCTGTTTGTGTCCTCTCTTGTTTCCTTGTGCAGTCATTTGTAGTTGTCCTTGAGGAGGTCTTTCAAATCCTTTGTTAGTTGTATTCCTAGGTATTTTATTATCTTTGTAGCAGTGTGAATGGGAGTTCGCTCATGATTTGGCTGTGTGTTATTGGTTTATAGGAATGCTTGTGATTTTTGCCCATTGATTTTGTATCCTGAGAATTGCTTATCATCTTAAGGAGATTTTGGGCTGAGATGATGGGGTCTTCTAAATATACAATCATGTCATCTGCAAATAAAGACAATTTGACTTCTTTTCCTAACTGAATATCCTTTAATATTTCATTTCCTTGCCTGATTGCTGTGGCTAAAAGTTCCAATACTATGTTGAATAGGAATGGTGAGAGAGGGCACCTTTGCCTATTGCCAGTTTTCAAAGGGAAAGCTTTCTGTTTTTGCCCATTTAGTATTATATTAGCTGTGGGTTTGTTGTAGATAACTTTTATTATTTTGAGATACTGTCCACTGATACCTAGTTTATTGAGGGTTTTTAGCATAAACACTGTTGAATTTTGTCAAAGGCCTTCTCTGCATCTATTGAGATAATCATGTGCTTTTGTCTTTGGTTCTGTATATGTGATGGATTACATTTATGGATTTGTGTATGTTGAACCAGCTTTGCATTCCAGGATGAAGCCAACTTGACTTTGATGGAAAATTTGTTTGATGTGCTGTTGCATTCAGTTTGCCAATATTTTATTGAAGATTTTTGCATTGATGTTCATCATGGATATTGGCCTGAAATTTTCTTTTTTAGTTGTCTCTCTGCCAGGTTTTGGTATCAGGATGATGTTGGCCTCATAAAATAAGTTAGGGAGGATTCCCTCTTTTTGTATTGTTTGAAATAGTTTCAGAAGGAATGGTACCAGCTCCTCTTTGTACATCTGGTAAAATTTATCTGTGAACCCTGTACTTTTTTTGGTTGGTAGGCTATTAATTGCTGCTTCAACTTTAGACCTTGTTATTAGGGTATTAGGGGATTCAACTTCTTCCTGGTTTAGTCTTGGGAGGGTGTAGGTGTCCAGGAATCCATTTCTTCTAGATTTACTGGTTTATGTGCATAGAGGTGTTTGCAGTAATCTCTGATGGTAGTTTGTATTTCTATGGGATCAGTGGTGATATCCCCTTCATCATTTTGTTATTGCATCTATTCAATTCTTCTATCTTTTCTTTTTTGTTAGTCTGCTAGTGATCTATTTATTTTGTTGATCTTTTCAAAAACCAACTTCTGGATTTATTGATTTTTTTGAAGAGTTTTTTTTTTTTGTGTGTCTCTGTCTCCTTCAGTTCTGCTCTGATATTAGTTATTTATTGTTTTCTGCTAGATTTTGAATTTGTTTAATGTTGCTCCTCTAGTTCTTTTAATTTTGATGATAGGGTGTTGATTTTAGCACTTTCCTTTCTTCTCATGTGGGCATTTAGTGCTATATTTTCCCTCTAGACACTGCTTTAAATGTGTCCCAGAGATTCTGGTATGTTGTGTCTTTGTTCTCATTGGTTTTGAAGAATATCTTTATTTCTGCCTTTATTTCATTATTTATCCAGTAGTCCGTCAGGAGTAGGTTGTTCAGTTTCCATGTAGTTATGTGGTTTTGTATGAATTTCTTAGTCCTGAGTTCTAATTTGATTGCACTGTGGTTGGAGAGACTGGTTGTTATGATTTCCATTCTTTTGCATTTGCTGAGGAGTGATTTACTTCCAATTAGGTGGCCAAATTTAGAGTAAGTGAGATGTGGTGCTGAGAAGAATATATATTATGTGTATTTGGGGTGTAGAGTTCTGTAGATGTCTATTAAGTGTGCTTGGTCTAGATCTGAGTTCAAGTCCTGGATATCCTGTTCATTTTCTGTCTCATTGATCTGTCAAATATTGACAGTGGAGTGTTCAAGTCTCCCACTATTATTGTGTGGGAGTCTAAGTCTCTTTGTAGGTCATTAGGAATTGCTTTACATATTTGGGTGCTCCTGAATTGGGTGCATATATATATAGGATAATTAGCTTTTGTTGCATTGATCCCTTTACCATTATGTAATCCCCTTCTTTTTCTCTTTTGCTCTTTGTTGGTTTAAAGTCTGTTTTATCAGAGAGTAGAATTGCAACCCCTGCTGTTTTATCAGAGAGTAGGATTGCAACCCCTGCTGTTTTATCAGAGAGTAGGATTGCAACCCCTGCTTTTTTTGCTCTCCAATTGCTTGTTAAATCTTTCTCCATCTGTTTATTTTCAGACTATGTGTGTCTTTGCATGTGAGATGGGTCTCCTTAATACAGAACACTGATAGGTCTTGACTTTTTATCCAATTTGCCAGTCTGTGTCTTTTGATTAGGGCATATAGCACATTTACATCTAAGGCTAATATTGTTATGTGTGAATTTGATCCTGTCATTTTGATATTAGCTGGTAATTTTGCCTGTTAGTTGATGCAGTTTCTTCACTGTGTCAATGGTCTTTACTATTTGGTACATTTTTGCAGTGGCTGGTACTGGTTGTTCTTTTCCATGTTTAGTGCTTCCTTCGGGAGCTCTTATAAGGCAGGCCTGGTGGTGATGAAATCTCTCAGCAATTGCTTGCCCATAAAGGATTTTCTTTCTCCTTCACTTATGAAGCTTAGTTTGGCTGGATATGAAATTCTGGGTTGAAAGTTCTTTTGTTTAAGGATATTGAATATTGGCCCCCTCTCTCTTCTGGCTTGAAGGGTTTCTGCTGAGAGATCCAATCTGCTGTGAGCCTGATGGGTTTCCATTTGTGGGTAACCCAACCTTTCTGACTGTAAGGCCGGTTGCCTTGCCGGGAGTCGAACAGACACATTTATCACTCTCCGCACCTGATAACTACGTCATCACCCGAGCTCATTATCTGGCTTCCCCACAAAACTTCCCCACACAAGCCTCTGCATACCATGTCCAAGCCCACACTCAGCACTAAATTATGCATCCAACATCCAGCCCACTGTTAAAAAACCCTGCAGAGAAATTTTTTTTAAAGAAGCCCCACCGTTCCCTGCCCAGCAACAGCCTGCCCCGTACGCCCCTGGCAGGCCGGCATACCCAAGGTCCTGCCTGCCTACCAACGGCATCTAGTTTCATATACTTCCTACTTTAACTCCATGTACTTCCTGCTCCTCAACAACCATTAGAAATGCCTTCTCTTTGTTTCCCCAGTAGTCAATCCAGGCTCACTTACCCAAGGTCCCGCCTACCAATGGCAGCTAGTTTCATATACTTCCTACT